TCTTTCCTATGGCAACAAACAGTTTTAATTAATTAATCGAGGTGGTGATCAAATCATCACTGATCATCATTGTCGTCTGTTTTTCCGGTCCAACTGTGTTGCTTTTGAGTAGACAAAAGCAGAGAAAGCGATAACAAAAGATAGTTGGTGAGCAAGCATAGTGAGAAGACTTTTTAAATGTAGAATCCAGAAAAAAGGTTAAAAGCATATCAGCTTCTAACGTGAAAGAGAGAGCTCGCTCATTCAAAAAAGCTTCATTCTTTGAAAAAGTTGAGGAAGAGTTAAAAAACTGCGGAGAGAAAATCCGGTAAAGTTGTGGCCGAGTAATAATGCAACAGTTTAGTGAGTGAAAAATAATTAAAGGTCATTCTGACGACAGTACCTAAATTGTAAATATAAACAATGAGTTAGCAAGCAATTTTCTTGGGTAACTAAAACACAACTTTCTTACTTGGACTGGTCGTTGCGAACCTCGTTGATGATGCCGTTTGCCTTTTCAAGCGCTATTAGCATTGCCAAAGACTTTTGACGGAAAAAGGATATTTCTTCCGATTCATCAAGTAGCTCATCAAAAAACTCCTCCTTGTACAGCTTTTTGACTAGTTCTTTTTGAAGATTTTCCTTAACAAAGACAACCATAAAAGACATAATTGATTTGGGAATCTGGAGCAATAGAGCGAAAAAAAATAGTTAAAAACAAACAAAATTAAAAAATCAAGTTATAATACCATGTCTTCAATCGTCTTGCGAACAATTTCGATATAGGTTTTGAGCAAATGCTGAATGATATTGCAGTTTTCGATATCAACTGCAGTCAAATTTGAATCGTCCTCTTCAGGCTCACTGTCTGAAGCATCTTCGGAGCTGTGGTCCGGCGATTCACTGCGACTAGATTTTTCGCCATTTTTATCGCCTCTATTCGACAGATCAAGTTCAAGTTTCTCCTTCCGAAATTCTGGATTGCGAGTGTTGATGTAGTCCAGCTGAATCTTGATAAGACTCTTCACAAAATCCTCTGTCGGCTGGACTCGGTCGGCAAGCAGCTCCACCAACACCTCGTTGATGCGATCGCTCAAATTGGGAAATCGAATCAAATCTTTTTTAATCTCTTTAAACTCACATTTATCCTTAGTTTTGCGTAGTTTTTCGTGCACCTTTTCCACGCAGTCCAAACTTGGCTGTAAAAAGCTGCGAATTTCCTTTTTAGCTAGGTTTTTAAAAACCTTGTCCGGTATGAAAATGCCGGGGCATGTTCCCTGTGAATTAAAACAAAAAAGATTACTAAAAGAAAAATTTAAAAAGAAAAGCATTACTTCAACATTTTTTATGTAAGTAAGAATTTTTTTCTTAGAGTATTGAGCCTTCTTAAACACTGGAAGTGTTTTACAAAAATTTTCGTGAAGAGCTTTGCAAATGAGTGCCCCACAACCCAGCTTTTCATCTTCAACTTCCAGATCAGCGTCACTAGTCCCTTCAACAGTAGAACAGTAGTCAATAGAGTACTGATGCAAAATGTTGAAGATGAATAAATCCTGCAGAATAAAATGCATTTGTGAAATAATGTTTTACAAAATACATCAACAGTACCTTCTTTTCAGAAATGTCCTCTCCGTACTTGTACAAGTTTTCCTCACACTCTGATGTAAGTGTGTTAATTCGTCGCCTCAAATCTGGAAGGCATTTGCTAATGTGGTTGTGCAGAATCTGCGTGACAAGTAAAGATAACTAAAGCGGAGGTGTCAAAAGAATAAAATGCATACCCCGCTGAGCTTCTTTGCGAGGAAAGCTGTGCCGTGTCGGGCAGCCAGTGAAGGGTAGCGCTTCTGCAGAAACTTCTGCTCATCTTCCAGCGCCTTGGCAATGCTTTTTTGATCGTTAATGTCCTGCTGTGAACGATTAACGCAGCCAATGATGCCCAGTTTTACTGGTATCACCTTGCCCATGAGGACGTTCTTTGCGTCCGTGCCTTTGTCCATTAGATCAAGTTTGGTCAGAACTGCCAGTGTTCGCTCGCCATTGGGGTCGACTGCACGAGCAAGCTTCAGCGATTCNTAGATCAAGTTTGGTCAGAACGGCCAGTGTTCGCTCGCCATTGGGGTCGACTGCACGAGCAAGTTTCAACGATTCAGAGTTGGCGAAATCCGTGTTTGCTGGAGAAACGGCCAAAATGATGGAATTTCGGTTGTGGATGTAAGGCCAAATTAGGTCTTTAATTTGCTGTTCGATGTCTTCGGGCTGCCCTTCGACTGGAACCTTGGTGATGCCGGGCAGAT